ACACACACACACACACACACACACACACACACACTCAGAGTGAATGGTATTTCATGTGATAGACTGAGCTGTTGTTGAATAATTGATGTCTCCATTATCAAGCCCACAGAGCAGGGGGAGGGGGAGGGGGAGCGAGGGGTCGATACAGAGACACCTGTAACACACACACACACACACACACACACACACACACACACACACACAGATGAATGATGGACAGTTGAGACAGTTTTTCATTTCAAACCCACGTTGACAGTAAAACAAACCTCGTTAAACAAACTGGAGGATCCGTTAGAAACTACAGCAGAGAAAATAGAGACACATTCTCATTGACATGATTTAAGTTTTGGAACTACAGCTCCCACAATGCTTTGGGGGATGTAAACAGGATGTATGCAATTCCAAGTCAAAACATTGTGGACTGTAAATAAAGATGGACGACAGGACGGCTCCCAAAAGTGAAGCCAAAGTGTCTCAATCACCCCCTGGTGGCCGACTGCAGTGTATGTAATAAACCCTCCATGTTAGCAGATGGGACATGGACCAAACTGTCAAAGTTAAATAAATGTTTGTGTCATTTCAGCTCGTTCTCTCTGGTGTTTGTTCACGTTTCTGATCAGTTTGGTTGAATCAGTTATTTGATGATAGAAAAACAGGCGGAGACGTGATGATTGACAGCTGAGACTGACTCAGGATTGGTTGAGAACATGTGTGTCGTTCAGGCGTGTTGTGTTTTCGCAGCAAAGTGTGAATGTGTGTGTGTATGTGTGTGTGTATGTGTGTGTGTATGTGTGTAAAAGAAATGAAAATGTGAGACTGTTTTTTTATCTCAAGCAATTAAAATCCTATAAATAGTTCACTGCACCAATTAAAATGAAACTGACACAGATAAGTTGACAAGTTATTTTCTTTGTGTGTGTGTGTGTGTGTGTGTGTGTGTGAGAGAGAGAATGTATTTGTGCCACGTGCAACTCATTTTTTATTCCTGATTAAATCAACTTCAGACAAGTAGAAAAGCTTTTTTTGTTTTCAACTTTGTGACCATAACTGTTCAAACTCATCACTGTTGCTATGGTTACACCTGGTGTCCAGGCACACGTGACAAACTGCGAGCGTTGTAAACGCTGCTGGTCTCGTTTTAGTTTGAAAACTCAAGGTCGTGATTTATTCTGAAGATTTTTATAAACGATGACCAGACGCCCACGTTTTCTTCCTGATCGGATCTCATCAGTCACGACTCGAACATTCTGTCGGCAGCTTCTGGTGTTTGTCAGGAAATGTTCCTTCAAATCATCGCTAGTGACGAGACGAAAACAGGAAGCTTCACCTGGGTCGGCGGAGGACAGAAAACATGGCCGCCGGCGTCACAGCCCCCCAAAAAAGAAAGAAAATAAAAATCATGATGGATTTGATGTCAGACTCCAGCAGATGGTGGGATGGAGGAAGAGACGGAGAGATGAAGGGATGGAGCTTCACAGACGACTAATGTTTCATTCAGAGGGAGAGAGGAGGGGGCGAGAGACAGAGAAAGAGACTGGGAGGGAGATGAGTGGAGGAGGATGGACAAGCTTGAAAGAGGAGTGTTGGGTTTCATTCAGAGAGGAAGTGTGTGTGAGAGGGAGGGAGGGAGAGATCGATGGACAGAAAGAGGTGAAAATGAGAGGAAACTCCAGCGGCTGCCAACGCCCTTGAAAGCATCGTGCTGCCTTCACATGAGCACGGAGAACCAGGAGGAGTGGTGGTGTGAACCCTGAGGAGTGAGGAGAGGAGGAAGGAAGGAAGGATGGAAGCGTCTCCTCTCTCTCTGTTCCTCATCCCTCGTTCTGTTTCACCATCAACACTTTTAGTTTCTGGTTCCTGACGTGAGGTTTCAGCGTCTTCTTCACACAGATGCTTCTTCTTCTGTGTTTTTAATAACATCAGAGTTTAAAAAAAAAAAACCTCAGGACCAACAGGAGGTCGGCCATTTTGAACTGAGAGGTTATTTTAGGCGTTTTTGAAATGTTCTACTTGAACAGACTCCTCCCACAGAATCAATCAGAGAGACTTGAAAATCAATGTGATCAGAATCAAACATTATTTTAAAAATGGCACGTTGTTGTATTTTGAGTCAGATCGGCCTCAAGCTTCACAGGTTTGAATCCCTGAAGACGACTACAAGCCACGGCGCCACCTACTGGTCACTGGACATTTTCCTCATCCAAACCAAACTCTGAGAAAAAAAATGGAAAGTGATGAAAAGAAAAATAAGAAACAAACACTGAACCTGAACAAGCGATAAGAATCTTTCAGTTGTTGAAGTGGATAAAAGTTCATTCTTCTGTCTGTAAAACAGATGCTGGAGGATTCCTCCTCTTTCCTCCCCCTCCTTTCTTTATCCCTCCATCCGACCGTTTCCACCACCACCAGAGAAGAGCTGAAATCAATTAGTATTCTAGTAAGAGTGTGTGTGTGTGTGTGTGTGTGTGTGTGTGTGTGTGTGTGTGTGTGTGTGTGTGTGTGTGTGAGTGAACCGGAGGCTCTCTCCTCGTTAATCTCACCACTTAGATCCTCCCTAATTGGGACGGACAGTCATGTGGAGGTGACGGAGGACGGGAGGAAAACCAGAGGGCAGGAAGAGGAGAGGAGAGGAGCTTTGAACACAAACGCACAAAATTCACCAGGTCATAGAAATAAATGTTGCAGAGTGGATATTTGAATCTGATCATGTCGGCATGGGCAGAGCTGCAGGAAAGATGTAGACTTCCCACATTTCCCAGAAGCCCTTTGGTCATGCACCGGGCGAATACAGAAATGGACGAAGCCTCCTGTTCCTACTCTGCGTTCGTTTTTAAACGTATCTGTTTTCTGAAAGTTTACGGATACAAAAAGAAGAAGTGGAGGAATCGCGGGGGGTGGCCAACAGTTTGAGTGAGACGTCCGGCGGAGACGAGGAAGAAATCTCAACAATGGTGGAAGTTTTTTGGGGAGAAACACAGACTTGTTAAGAGTTGACCCCCCCTCTCTGTGGTTCCACTGAGATTCTATTCATTAGTCACTTTGGTCTGCACGTGCACGTCTGTATTTCGGGGATTGTTGACATGTTTGGATGACGACACTTACGTCACGAGAACCATAGGGGAGCCGATAGATGCAGAAACTATGAACTCTCCTTTGAGAGGAACTTTATCACAACACGTCAGTTGTTGTCAGAGACTCTTGACTCTGCGCTGCCCTCTAGTGGAGGTATCACTTAACAACTAGGTAAAGGTCACATGGAAGAATGTGGAGATGTTCACGCGGCGTCTGTGTCGAAGACCATGGTCAGTGTTTCATGAAACAAACCGAATACAGATCTGTGTCCCTGGGTGAGCTCCACTCAGGTGTCTTCTTTCTTCTCTGTGTTATTGTTCGTGAAACATGGCGGCTGCAGAAAGACTTGATCTGAGGGACGGACGTTTCCTGTTTGGATCACCGCGACGTTTTTCAACTGCAGCCGAAGGAAACGACTGGACACGACGTCATGACGTCTTCAGACTTCAAACATCAGCTGGTTCGTGACGGATGTTTTTTGGAATAACATTAACGGTATTGGAAGACGGAAATCTTCTGTCGGATTTCTTGCATGAATAAAAAATATCAAACAAAGATATGCAAACTGCCGCCTCGTTCTGAAGCCGGCCTTTTAGTCTGCAGACTGAAACCAGCTCCTCCCTCCCTCAGTCGTGTATTTGGACTTTTTGTTCGGGAGGAGAGGCGGCGGCCTGGTGAGCGCAGCCTGTGATCTATTAATACATCTGCATAAATTATTCAGAGCCGCTCTGTAGCAGTTAGCCTGCTGTGCAGGAGCTCTGGCTCCGGTCCGGAACATCCACCAGGATTCTGTCCGCAATCTGGCGCCGGCAAAGAGAAACGACAACTCACGAGAAAACTCGTTTCATCTCAACACGTCCACAGCGAGGTCAGAGGTCAGAGGTCAGAGGTCAGAGGTCGCAGCCTGGTCGGGGTTGGGGGGGGTGAACCCAGACGGCTCAGAGCTCAGTCGCTCATATGTGACGTCAGGAAATGTTTTGTGATACACACACACACACACACACACACACACACACACACACACACACACACGATCAACTTTTCTCTCTTTGACTTGAACTCGAATCAGACGAAGAAAGTTGATG